TCAGCTGTTTTCCAGGATATTTTGGTGACTGCAATTTGGCCTAATTCAAAGGTAAAGGCAAGTTCCTGGGTTTTCAAAAATCAAGGTTACAGGTCCTTTGTAAAATGACCTTCTGACTCCATCTTAGAGCTCTGAACCAGAGGTGCAATATTATATGCCATATTTCATAGTGGAATGAACTAACCACAAATTGAAAATATTTGGGAAAAAAAGATGGCTACATCTGTACTGTATACACTTTTTTGTTTTTCATTATTCCCCAAATAATACAACAACCATTTACAAAGCATTTAATTGTATTAGATATTGTAAGTAATCTGGAGATGATTTAAAGTATACAAGAGGATGTGCCTAGGTTATATGCAAATGCTATGTCATTTTATAAAAGGGACTTGAGCATCTGGGAATTTAGGTATCTAAGGGAGGTCCTGGAACAAATCACCCAAAGATACCAACAAAGGACTGTATATATTTGGTCTTCTTCCCTGTTTCTTGGCATATAGCCCTTAAAACTCTTGAATCTCCAGAATGTTAAGAGTGTCTTTTGTATGCTAATGACTGGTGGCTGGGGGCCTCTAGATAGCTTCAAGATTTGGTCTGATCACTGGAAAGACTGAGCCATGATTGGCACTCCCCAAATTGCCATAGAGGGGAGAGGGTTGAGTTGATCATCAATGGCCAATGATGTAATCAATCATACCTACATAATGAAGCCTCCCATAAAAACCCAAAAGGACTGGGCTCAGAGAACTTCCAGATGGTTGAAAACGTGAAGGTTCTTGGAGGGTGCTGCTTCCTGAGAGGGCATGGAAGCTCTGCACCCATCCCATGTACTGTGCCTATTCATTTCTTCCATCTGGCTGTTCATCTGTATCCTTTGTAATAAATGGGTAAGTTTAACTAATGTGTTTCTCGGAGTTCTGTGAGCTGTTCTAGTGAATTGAGCAAAGCCAGTGAGAGTTTCATGGGAATCTATGATTTATAGCTGGTTAGTCAGAAGTACAGGTGACAACTTACTATTTGTCACTGGCATCTGAAGTAGGGGGCATCCTTGTGGGCCTTAGCCTTGAGCTGGTGTGATCTGACACTATCTCTAGGTAAATAGTGTCAGGATTTAATTGAATTAGAGGACCCCCAGCTAGTGTCTGCTGCAGAAATACTTGTGAGTTATTTCCCCACACAAACATGGTGTCAGAAGTATTGTGTTAAATGGTTTGTGAGTGTGGGAAAAACATTTTTGTATTTTTACCTGTTTTTTTTTTTTGCTGTTTTGTAGAGACAGAGTCTCTCTATGTTGCCCAAGCTAGTCTCAAACTCCTGGCCTCAAGCAATCCTCCTGCCTTGGCCTCCCAACGTGCTGGGATTCAAGCATGAACCACAATACCTGGCTTTTTTTTTTCCTTTTTTTCTATTTTTAAAACAAATATTTGTGGATCACTTACTATTGCCAAACAGTATTGTAGGTGCTAAGACTGGAACTGAGAATAAAATCTCAGACAATGCCGCTGACTTCTAGTTATATTCACAGATTAATGGAGGGTATAGTTAGGGATACAAATAAATATAATGTAAGATGATCAGTGTTATATAGAGGCATTATGGAAACCCAGGGGAAAATGCATCTGAATTTAGCTTGAGTTATGGTGGCCTGGGAATAATAACACACTTAGTAATTATTTAGTTTTTTTCTATGGGCCAAGAACTGTGCTAAGCAATTTACATATGCTATGTTACTGAATCTCACAACCACTCAATGAAGCTATTTTTCTTATTTTATAGATGAGGAACTAAAGCAGAGAAAGGGTAAATAACTTTCCCAAAGTCACTTAGCTTGTAAGAATGGAACCCAAATCTGAACCTGAGCCCCACCAAACTCAAAACATATACTCTTTCCTCTATCTACCATGCTGCCTTTCATTAGACAGAAGAAGATATTAAGGTTGGATCTTGAAGTATAAATAGGAAGTGAAAGGATGGATAAGGTGTGAAGACCTACCTTTTAGGTGGTGGGAACACCATGTGCAAATGAGGACTGAAAGAGCATGTTGCATTTGCAAACTGTTGTGATATAGGACAGATTAAATAAAGTTATAGTCACAAACAGCTGCCAAATCTCAGTCCTTAACACACAAAAATACATTTCTCACTGATATGATCTGGCTCTGTGTCCCCACCCAAATCTCATTTCGAATTGTAATCCCCATGCATTGGAGGAGGGACCTGGTAGGAGGTGATTGGATCATGAGGGCAGTTTCCCTGTTGCTGTTCCTAGGAAAGTGAATGAGTTCTTATGAGATCCAGCTGTTTGAAAAGTGTGTGGCTCTTCCTGCTTTGCTCTCTTTTTCTCCTGCTCTAATATAGTAAAATATGCCTGCTTCCCCTTCACCTTCTGCTGTGATCATAAGTTTCCTGCGGCCTCTCAGCTATGCTTTCTGTACAACCTGCAGAACTCAGAAATTTCTTTTCCTCATAAATTATCCAGTCTCAGGTAGTTCTTTATAGCAGTGTGAAAATGGACAAATACATTTACTTAACCATGCTGTTCCAGGCAGGTGGGCGGTGGATTTTCCTTCACGCCATCACTCAGGATCCCAGGAGGCCACTTGAGTTAGAGTGGCAAAAGAAAGTCTAGAGAATCCGGCATTTTTCTTCCTCAGCTTGGAAGTGACATACATCATTTCTTCTCATAGCCCATTAACCAGAACTAGTCACATGGCCCAACTAACAGCATAGGCTGGGCAGTGTATGAGAAATGAGAACAGTATTATGTGAGTATTGCTGGCTACTGCACCCTGCATTTACTCTAAAAAATGTTTTTTTTTTCTTTTTCTTTTTTATTTTTTATAATGAAGGCAGATGGTGGATCAAAGTAAAAAATTCTGATTCCTAACCCAGACCTTGGTGACTGGTCTGATTTTAACTTGTCTCAGGAAAATTCTCACTGAAGGATTTTGGGAGGGAACAGATCAATTCTGGGCCAAACCAAGATTTTGAATTTCTCTGAACCTGGTGAGAAGACCAAACTTTCAGATTACACCTCTTAGGTCCAGAGCTGAACAACTGAAAGACGCTGAACACAAGAGTAACCTGAACTGGGCGAAGCCTCTTGGCATTTGGACAAGGTAAAGGTTAAGTCTTGTATGATTCCAGAGTGTTTTATGTCTTTTTTTTTTTTTTTTTTGGCCTTAAGAGGAAGTCTCCCTCTGTTGCCTAGGCTGGAGTGCACTGGCATGATCTTGACTCACCACAACCTCCACTTCCTGGGTTCAAGCAATTCTCCTGTCTCAGCCTCCCAAGTAGCTGGGATTATAGGTGGCTGCCATCATGCCCAGCTAATTTTTGTATTTTTAGTAGAGATGGGGTTTTACCATGTCGGCCAGGCTGGTCTTCAACTCTTGACCTCAAGTGATCGGCCTGCCTCCCAAAGTACTGGGATTACAAGTGTGAGCCACCTCACCTGGCTGTTTTATGTAATTTCATTGAAAGTTTTTCTTATAATATTACTGTGTGATAAATAAGTTTTAAAATGAAAAGAAAAAACATTTTAAAATTTTCATGTTTATAAATCTCTTAATGGGCTTTTTCATGGAACCAGTTGGAAAAAATACAAGCAGTAACAGGATTATAATTCCTAAATAATATGGTAAAGTTATACACACACACACACACACACACACACACACACACACATATGTATGTGTATATTTTTGAGATGGAGTCTCACTCCCATCGCACAGGTTGGAGTGCAGTGGCATGATCTCGGCTCACTGCAACCTCCACCTCCTGCGGTGAAGCAATTCTCTTTCCTCAGCCTTCCGAGTAGCTGGGATTACAGGCATGTGCCACCACACTCAGCTAATTGTTGTATTTTTAGTAGAGACCGGGTTTCACCATGTTGGCCAGGCTGGTCTCGAACTCCTGACCTTAGATGATCCACCCCCACCCTTGGCCTCCCAAAATGCTAGGATTACAGGTGTGAGCCACTGTGCCCAGCCAAAGTAGTATATTTTGATGAAATATTACATATTTCAAAACTATGTGTATAACTTTTAGTATCAGAGGGTGAAGAGATTAGAAAGAGGATAGAATGATTAATAAACAGATTATTTGCCATTAAAATCTTCTCTTACCTGTCTTGTGATTAATTCTTCCAGAGTTTTTAGTGTGGTCTGCTTTCTTTATTACAAACATATCAAAGTTTGGTTTTAAATTTTATTTTAACACTTGCAAGACAACAAAACAGTTCTTTGCTGCTTACCATTGATCAGTCACTATGCTTAGAGCTCTATATTCTCATTTAATCTGTATAAAAAATCCTCTAGGTGCTATTACATTCCTGTTTACAGGTAAGAAAAATGAATCTTTGAAAGTTAAGCCAGGAGTGGTGGCTCACGCCTGTAATCCCACCACTTTGGGAGGCTGAGGCAGATGGATCACGACGTCAGGAGTTCAAGACCAGCCTGGGCAACATAGTGAAACCCTGTCTCTACTAAAAATACAAAAATTACCTGGGCATGGTGACGTGAGCCTGTAGTCCCAGCTACTTGGGAGGCTGAGGCTGAGGCAGGAGAATCACTTGAACCCAGGAGGCAGAGGTTGCAGTGAGCCAAGATATTGCCATTGCACTCCAGCCTGGGCGACAGAGCGAGCCTTCCTCTTAAAAAAAAAAAAAAAAAAAAAAAATTAAATATTCTGGCCAAGACATTGAATTGGGATTTGAACCCAGGCTGGTGGATTTCAGAGATCATAGCTTTTTCCAGGTTTACTTATAGACAAGATGAGAGCAACAATAAGATAGTTGATAAGAACGTTGAATGAAAGTAATTTTTTGGTCAGGCATGGTGACTCATGCCTGTAATCCCAGCACTTTGGGAGGCTGAGATGGGTGAATCACCTGAGGTCAGGAGTTCGAGACCAGTGACCAGCCTGGCCAACATGGAGAAACCCCCATCTTTACTAAAAAATACAAAAAATTCTTTTTTTTTTGAGTTGGAGTTTCACTCTTGTTGCCCAGGCTGAAGTGCAATGGCATGATCTTAGCTCACTTCAACCTCCGCCTCCTGGGTTCAAGCGATTCTCCTATCTCAGCTTCCTGAGATTACAGGCATGTGCCACCACACCCAGCCAATTTTGTATTTTTAGTAGAGATGGAGTTTCTCCATATTGGTCAGGCTGCTCTCGAACTCCCGACCTCAGGTGATCTGCCCACCTCTGCCTCCCAAAGAGGTGGGATTACAGGGGTGAACCACCGCACCTGGCCAAAAAAAGAATTTTTATCCTTTGGCATATATTTCAATCTGGGCCATCAAGCACAATTTTCAAAGAAACCCTCTTTATTTTTCCAATCCTGTCACGCAAGAAATATTCTTGCTGTATACCCCTGACGATGCCTTTTTTAATTCCCCGAACTACTGCAAGGGCAGTTGGGCTGGGCCTATTAACAAGTCATAACATCAGCTGTGACAGGCCTTTCTGCTGCCTGTCTTCAACTTTCCAAGTGTCCAAGAGGTGGCTTAACCTGTACTTCCAGTTTATACTGCCACCAAGTAGAGAAAATATATGGAGAATACACTGTGCCAATTGCTTAAAGATGAAACAATTTTAATTTATTTTTAATAAGATAATTATCCCATTGGACTAAATGTTTATGATGTAAAGTTACATTCAGTAGTGGTGAATAGGATTTTTTTACTTGAAAGATCTAGTTGTATAATTCCAAATGACCGAACCAATCAAATGTAACCTTTGGTTAGAGACACAAATTTCCTTCAGCCTGAGTCTAAAGCCTGGAAAAAGAAAAAAGCAAAATAAATAAATAAATAAATAAGAAACATATTTCCAATATGATATTCAGAGAGTTTGAGAATATTTTAATTGTTTTGTTCTTTTGCAATGGAAATACATTTATAGTTTTTGTGTGTGTGTGTGTGTGTGTGTGTGTGTGTGTGTGTGTGTTTACTCTGGTTATTTCTCATTGAAACCTAAAAACCCACAGAGGCAGGAAAGGATAGATTGACAGGGTACCCAGAAAACAAGGACTGTTTGCAGTCTGACTCTAACCCAGAGGCATTGATACCAGCGTGTGGAGAAAGTTCAAATGCCAGATCTTGATGCCCAACATTGGTTATGGGAACAACAAGAAGAAAAAGCACATGCTGCTCAGTGGCTTCTGGGTTTCTGGCCTATAATGTCAAGGAGCTGTAAGTGCTCCTGATATGCAATAAATCTTACTGTGTTGGGACTGCTCACAATGTCTAAGAACTGAAAAGTCATAGAGGAAAGAGAAGCCTGACTGGCCATGAATCACCAATCCCAAGGCCAGGTTGCCCAGCAAAGAAAATGAATAGACGGCTGTTAAAAGACAGCAGATCTGAAATGGAGTCATTCATGCTGACATTCACCAAACTGAAACCTAAGCTGTACACCTGTAAGATATGACCCTCTGAGAAATCTTGGGGTCAAATGGCCAAATCCCATTAAGCCAACAAGATTTTGCCTATGTCCCTATAAGGAAGGTAACTTTGAAATGACCATCTGTTATTTGTTTCTTGTTTCTGCTTTTCTCCACTTTTTTCAGCCTGTTAAACTCTCCCATTCTGTCTAGCTCATCAGAACTCCTTTCTATTTTGTAGACTGTCTTAACTTTCCAAGTGTCCGAGAGGTGGCTGCCTGGTTTATAAATTGCCAACAAAAGCCAATCAGATCTTTGAAACTCGGCTGGGCGTGATGGCTCAAGCCTGTAATCCCAGCACTTTGGGAGGCCAAGGTGGGCTGATCACCTGAGATTAGGAGTTTGAGACAAGCTTGGACAATGTGGTGAAACCCCATCTCTACTAAAAATACAAAAACCAGTTCGGCATAGTGGCAGGCACCTGTAATCCCAGCCACTCAAGAGGCTGAGGAAGGAGAATGGCTTGAACCTGGCGGGGTGGAGGTTGCAGTGAGCCAAGATCGCCACTGCACTCTAGCCTGGGCAACAGAGTGAGAGTCTGTCTCAAAAAACAAACAAACAAAAAAAAAAGAAAACAAAACAAAACAAAAAAGATCTTGAAACTCAATTCGTTGAAATTTTGTTCTCTCACACAGCTCATGTGTAAGTTTTAGTTGTGTTAAATAAAACCATAAAAACTCTGGGAAAAAGAAAGATTCAGATTCCCTAAGCTCAGAGTTCTCTGTATAGGTGTTAACTGGCCCTATTCACATTACCTCTGTATAGGTGTTAACTGGCCCTATTCAAGTTAACTTGGGGAACTGGCTCAAAAAATGCAGACATTGTAGCTACTGCTATTGCTGTTGGTAATAAACTATTTTTATCTTTGATCTAGGAGTCTCATGTCTTCTATCAGCATCCATGAAACTATGACAGACAAATGCATTAACTTGAAAGTAGGGTAAAATCTCAGATCCCTTATAGTTTTTTAAAAAATTTATTTATTTTACTTTAGGTGCATACTATATCTGGCATTTCTCCCCATGTTGACAGAAGCTGTCTCCAGAGGGAGAGACTATTTATTATTTCACTGAATGATATTACATGCCAGGCAGGATGCTGAGTACTGAGAATACAGAACCAGAGACACAGTTCTTGCCTGCAAGGAGCCTCCAGTGTATAGATTAGGAGCTTGCTGAGCTTGGTACTACTAGTAGAATTCCACAGTAGCAATATTACTAAGCTAGTTAAACTCAGAAGGTGGTCAAACTCTGACTAATAAAATCCTAGCTGCAATTGTGATCACAGCCCAACAACAGGATGGATACTTCTCTGCAGATGGCAGGAAGCTGAGAAGCACAAAGAGGTGCATAGGGACTTAAAGAGATCTCTAAAACAGTACTCCTAAGCCTTTAGAAGGTCAAGAAAGAAGATGCCTTTTAGATGGTTACTCTTTCTATATTTCCTTTGAATAAACTGCCCTAAAGAGTGACAGTAGGAGTGTTACTTTTTGGCCCAGAGATCAAAGGACATGTCTGCTGTGCAGACACCTGGTGATGAGCCCTTTGGAAGTGGGATTTCTAACTTTAGGGTTGCATCTAGGATGGGAGAGAAGGCACATACTACCTTAAATGCAGGATCAACCAGTGAACAGGCCTGCACAAGAAGGATAGGAAAGTCATAAATAGAGGAAGACTAGAGTCCCAAAGCTGTGGGTGAAACAGAAGTGGTTTCAGATCCAGGACCCAAGAAACTCTGAGTTTTTAATAGACAGGGACTCCATCAGAAAGTAGGATGTCATTTCCTTATGATGATAGTAAGCAAGAGAACCTGACAGGCAAGTCCTAGCCAGTAGTCTGGGCCTAGCAGACAGTCCACAGGTGCTAAAATAATTTAGTAAATAAACAGGGTATTCTAGATTCATCTGACAAGTTAGACACAAATAAGTATCATATGGTGTTCAGCACAAACAAAACAATACCTGGCAGTGGTGAGCACCTGTAGCCTGAGCTACTTAGGAGGCTGAGGTGGGGGGAGTTTGAGTCCAGCCTGGGCAACATAGTGAGACCCTGTCTCTAAAAATAAAATAAAATAAAATAAATAATAATCAAATAAAATGCACCTGACATTGACAACTAATACGAGGTAGCACAAAACCAGGAGCTTTACACATGTGGAAGGCATGAGTTTGGTCCCTCACACTGGGAGCAAGAATTCAATTATTCATTGAAAGTATATTAGGGCCAGGCATGGTAGCTTATGCCTGTAATCCCAGCACTTTGGGAGGCTGAGGCAGGCAGATCACTTGAGGTCAGGAGTTTTAGACCAGCTTGGCCAACCTGATGAAACCTTGTCCCTACTAAAAATACAAAAATTAGTTGAGCGTGGTGGCTGGTGCCTGTAATCCCAGCTACTTGGGAGGCTGAGGCAGGAGAATTGCTTGAACCTAAGAGTCAGAAGTTCCAGTGAGCCAAGATCATACCACTGTACTCCAGCCTGGGCAACAGAGCGAGACTCTGATTAAAAAAAAAGAAGTATATTGGGGCCAAGCATGGTGGCTCATTCCTGTAATCCTATCACTTTATGAGGCTGAGGCAGGAGATCAGTTAAGACCAGGTGTTCGAGATCAATCTGGGCAACATACTGAGACCCTGTCTCTAAAACAAACGAACAAATGATGAACAAATGAACAAAAGAGAGAGAAAGAAAGAATGAGAGACAGAAAAAAAAGAAAGAAAGAAAAAGAAGGAAAAAATGAAGGGAGAAAGCAGCGAACAGGACAGACAAAAGTCCTTGCCTTGCTTTCTTCTAAAAAAAGTTAAATCAGCCTCTGAACCACATGGGTCAAGGAAGAAGGAAAAACTGGGTTTTGTCATGCTTACTTTCAGGAGGGGGGCATTTACTAGGGATATCTTCACCTTCCCAGGATCCTACACATTCTAGAATATTCAGAGGTGAGCCCTCTGGTCTTTAGACCACACTGGCTACCACTGCTGGGTATTGATGATCCTAGTCCTATGGTTTCTTGGCTGGGCCACCCCTAATATTTTCAGGATCTAGAATGAGAGTACAAATGGAAGTTTATATACTATATGTTAAATATTTGGAGGGATCAAAGATGGCCGATTAGGAGCAGCTCAGGATTGCCGCTCCCAGCGAAATGGGGAGGGGGAGTGGATGCCACATTTCCAGATGGATTTTTATTGCCCACAGACCAGGAGATTCCCAGGCGGAGGAGCCCCATGGGTCACCAACGAGGCTGTGTTGGCTGGTGTGGCTGTGTTGGCTGGTGCCCCAGCGTGGCGGTTCTCCATACAAAAGACATGGGTCCGGGTGCCATTTTAGCTGGTGATTGGAGCTCCTGGGAGACAGAGTCGCCCATTCAACTGATATAAAAGGGGACTGAAACAGGGAGCCAGGACAGGAGATTGCTGGGCAAAAAATCACCACAAATCTCAGCACGACTGTTTCAGCCCATGCAGTGGGTCGCCGCATAGGAAATCACACAGATCCCAGTGCCTTTTCAACAGGTGACTGGAACACCTGGGAGACAGAGTTGATGGTTCAATTAAAAAAAAAAAGGGCTCTAAGGCAGGGAGCCAGGTGATCAGGCTCGGCTGGACCCACCCCCACAGAAAAACAGCAATCTGAAATGCTCTGGATTCAGAGTTTCACAGCAAGCACAGCTAAACCCAGGATGATCCAGCTCTGTGGGGGAGGGGCGTCCGCCATTACCGAGGCAGCTCACCACCATGGAGGTAGTCCGCCATTGCTGAGACAGTCCGCCACTGCTGAGGCAGCCCACCATTGCTGAGGCAGCCCACCATTGCCGAGGCAGTCTGCCATTGCTGAGGCAGCCTGCCATTACAGAGAGAGTCTGCCATTATAGAGGTGGGCTGCCATTGCCAAGGCAGTTCTAACTATACCCATATAAAGAGGACTGCAGGGAAGTTCACATGGCAGCTGGGCGGACCCCACAGCAGCTCAGCAAAGCCTCTGTGGCAGACAGTGACTAGGCTGCCTCCTTGCTGGGCAAGGCAGCCCTGAAAAAAGGCAGCAGCACAACAAAACCTCATAATTAAAGCCCTAATGCCCTGGGACAGAGCACCTGGGAAAAAAAGAGGGCAGTTTATAAGTTCTGCTGCAGCAGATTTAAATGTACCTGCCCAGTAGCTCTGAATGAGCAACGGAGCTCACAGCTCAGCACTTGAGCTCCTATAAAGGACAGAATGTCTCTTCAAGCAGCTCTCTGACCCCCATATCCAAATAGTCACCTCATGAAGGAGAGCTCAGACTGACATCTGGCAGGTATCCTTCTGGGACAAAGATACCAGAAGAAGAAACTGGCAGCAACCC